GAACAAGGTGTATTTCTCTTGTGATACTGGCCTTCTATTTATGATATCAGTTATGTTTCAACAATCAGTGCTCCTGTTGACAATGACCTTAGTTGTAATCATTGCCATTTAACTCTAAGGCATTGCTGATTTACAATATTTAATAATGTGATAGGAATGGACACTCAAGTGATCTAAGTATTAGTAGGCACCCATTGCATTCTATTGCAAATGCCCAAATGTGTTTGGTTCCCTCATCATTGTGTACTTCCTGACAGAATGTGATAGTCTGAGTGCCTCTTTGAAAGGGAAAGTGTATCTCTGGTTTTGGCTTTAACTTCTACCCTGCTGTAAGCATAAGAATAAACATTGTCTCCCATCTTGTTTTACTGTATTGAGGATGTAGGGAACCGATAATAAGGCAATTATCCATTCTCTGCATGCTTGCATGCTTATGCTTTTGTTTTGGGTATCCCAACACTGCCGTTATGCTTANGAACAAGGTGTATTTCTCTTGTGATACTGGCCTTCTATTTATGATATCAGTTATGTTTCAACAATCAGTGCTCCTGTTGACAATGACCTTAGTTGTAATCATTGCCATTTAACTCTAAGGCATTGCTGATTTACAATATTTAATAATGTGATAGGAATGGACACTCCAAGTGATCTAAGTATTAGTAGGCACCCATTGCATTCTATTGCAAATACCCAAATCTGTTTGGTTCCCTCATCATTGTGTACTTCCTGACAGAATATGATAGTCTGAGTGCCTCTTTGAAAGGGAAAGTGTATCTCTGTTTTTGGCTTTAACTTCTACCCTGCTGTAAGCATAAGAATAAACATTGTCCCCCATCTTGTTTTACTGTATTGAGGATGTAGGGAACCGATAATAAGGCAATTATCCATTCTATGCATGCTTGCATGCTTATGCTTTTGTTTTGGGTATCCCAACACTGCCGTTATGCTTATGCTTGCATGCTTATGCTTGTGTTGTGGGTATCCCAACACTACTGTTATGCTTATGCTTGTGCATATGACCTAGTGAAAAACAGGTTTTATAGTTTATTATTAACTGTGCGGCCATGGGCCGAGCGCGGTTCATGGTTTACCCTTGTTTTTTTTTTTAACTGCGCGGCCATGGGCCGAGCGCGGTTCATG